ATTTCTAGAGCATGGGAAGGAGTTGCAAGCAACCAGTGGAATAGCACTGCATCCACTCAGGGTTTCAGGGAGAGCAGTCCCCATTAATGGGAAACTCCAAAGGAGCCAGGAAAGACCCACATGGGTTGCTTTAACCATGGGCCAGGCACAGCAAGCTCAAAGCCATAAACTCCTGGAAGGAGTACTCTACCTCCTGGCTTCTCCTCTCCCCACTTTCTGCCCACCTCCACCCAGGCTGGGTCTCAAGGAACCTCCAGTGAATGGGGAAGTGATGAGCCCAAGCCAGTTGCATCTCTGCTGGGAAAGTCAACTACAGCTTTAAGCCTAAGAAGGGGATGGGGGACGAAGGCTAACTTCCAAGTAAAGTTTGATGCATTTGTTCATATCTTGTACCCAACATTAGAATTTGGGACGAAGCTGTGGTTGAGACTTAGCTACTATAAGACTATCAATTATCTATAAATGAGCAGAAAATACAACTCTACCCAACTTTCTATCCAGGGCTGGGGGAAGATAACCAATACTGAACTATACTTCTAAATGGTACTGAGAGACAAGAATAAAGTTCCATTTTGATCATGTCTTACAAGTTGTGAATTCAAAGTACTAGTCATGGTTTTATATTAAATGAGCAAAGGTCTCTTTGCACAATGGAGTCCACTGACCGGTAAAAGAAACTTGATGATACGATAAATCATGTTGAATCACTGGAAAAGATTTCAACACCGAAGAACATAAATGCTTTGTATTAGGCCCTAAAATTATCCAATCAACTAAGAAATATTTATTGTCTGTTATATGTGAAATCCTGTTGGATATCTTGAAGAATATTTAGATTCCTTTAGTTCAGGCTAATATAATTTCCCTCGTAGCATCATGCATTACACATAGTATGTGCTCAAAAATATTCTCAATTTAATTATTCTTTATAAAATACTTAGCATGAAGGGATGTGGCATTTTTCCAATGTTGACAACAACACTTCAGTGGAAAAATCCCCATACTTATAAAACGTGGTGCAAACCTGAATGGAAAGTGATTATGGTCTCACTTGTATTTAACACTGTAAAGTGTTGCTGAATGGTCTAATAATAAAGAACAGAATTTAAACCAGGAACATATAAGTGGGGTTCTTTTCGTCAATCAACTGCGATAACCCAGTAAGAACAAAAAAAATGATTGCTGGTGAGATGCCTAGACTTGAATCTGTGCCTATCACATACTAGACCTCGGGCCCCTATTTTGTCTCCTGTGAATGGGGATGCCAAGTTGGTGACCTCAGAGTGCCAGGGATGCTCATAAAGATAATATACAGTGAAACATCCTTTGTGAAATCTAAAGTGCTTCACAAATGCAAGGTCTTAAAAGTAAAACTTTAACATTCGTTGACTGCCACATGCATAGCACTTAATCTATTTCTTCCTTCAGTCTTCACGACCACCACAAGACCTAGCTAGGTACAACTATTTCCTTCCGTTTGACAAATGAGGAAACTGAGAGGTTAAGCAACTAGTTCAAGATTATACTGAACGCAGCTTGAACCAGTAAATCCTGAATCTTACCCCTAACACTAAGCTGCCATCCTTATTGTTATTCTGTAGAGGCGGTGAGATCTCCTAGGGGCTCAACAAACGCGGTTCCGTAAACTGCTAATTTAAAAGTAGATGCCTTTCCACCCCCGCTTTTCGACGCGGATCCCTCGCCCTTTCTCGCAGCACCTGACGCTCCCACTCTGATCCTGAAGCCCTTGCCCAGGCTCCTGCCCTCCACCGCCGGCTGGCGCCCAACTTCAGCATTTCCACGCATGCGTTGGGGAGACCTGCGCAGGCCCAGTGGCCGAGCGGCGCTGAGGGAACTCCCACCTCGACTCTGTTGGCCCCACCCCCCCGGGCCCCGCCTGGCCCTTCTGCTGCTCTGCTTCGCGGCTGCTGCTGCCTCGGAAAAGCTGGAGAATGAGCTGAATCTCCGCAGTTGTTACTGTCTCCAACGCTAACCACAGGTGCTTTGGGTCTGGCCGGAAGCCGCCTTCCCTGCGCCCGCTCCCAACTCCTTCCCTGGCCAGCTCCGCCTGCCAGGCGGCTACCTGGCTCTGCAGGGAGGCATCCCGGGCGGCGGGTATAGTTAGTTTGTGTACAGTTACCATGGAGACGCTGGCTGGCCCGGCTTTGCGGGCTGAGCAGCCCGCGGGCAAGCGGACAAGCTGGCAGGGTGAAGATGCTGCTGTGCTCTGCTCTGGTCTGGACCGGTGGAGGAAGGGGCATTGCAGGAAGTAGGGGAGCCGCTGTCCGCGCGGGAGGTGAGGCGGTTCACCGGGAACCTCTCCGTCTTTCTGTCCCTGGATGGGGACAGAGAGTGCCCTGTGCATGCTCTCCGGGTCGGGCCGCGGCTGTCTTTATTTCTATAAATTTTGAGCTTTTAGCCAAGCGCGTGGTGCTTAGTAGAAACTCAGTAGTATTTGTTGAATGAAAGTGTGATAGACTAAGGAGCTTTGTCTAGGCAGTGATCCAGCCAAGGTCACACAAATTGTCATCTGGGCTCTTCTAGGCAACAGAGTTACAATAAATAAATAAGTGTATGTGCAACAATATACATTAAAATAAATCATATATGCGTAACCCTTTTATCCATTCCCACGAGTATCACAGCAGATCCTCCATCTCACCCTGGTGAATTACTTGGTAGAAAAGCAAGTACCACTCTTTATTTGTAACCTTTTTTGTGAATCTACCAAATTCTGATTAGTTGTGTTTTGACATAGCTGATAATCCATAAAATACTTAATAAAAATTCTGTTTTCATAAAGCACAACACCCTGGTTTAAATTTTAAAATACATAAAATGTATGGAAACACTGAACAATGCCATTTCCTTTCTCCTGCAACTTCTTTTTTTAAAGGCAGTTTTTCATTCATAGGAAAAATTTTTGTTGTATCCTTTTATTACATAGCTCTTGGACAGTGGTTAATGTTTTTTAAGGGCCAGGTACCATGCTGAAGCACTTTACATGGATTATGTTATTCTCAGAACAGTTACTATTACAACACACATTTTACAGACGAGGAAACTGAAGCTCAGAGAAGTTAGAAGCCCTGGTGGAGGTTAAATCGCTGTAAATTGTCAGAGTATTTGAACCCTTACTCCAGCATCTAAGCATTTAACCACTGCTTCTTTGGATACTCATATTAACACAAAAGTCATTCAAAATCATGGTAACGGTCTTGAGTATTTGATCTGTAGGAAAAAGAGTATGGAGATGGCCAGTCTTTCCCCTGTTGCAAACATCCTGATAGTGCAGTGTTGCATTTAGCAAGAAGGATCCGCTTCAGGTGACTGACTATTTGCAGCACAGGTAAAGACAGATTCTGTTACTCACAGCTGAAAGCTTCCAAAAGATTGGCATCCTCACTTGGTAATGCCTCACAGGTGAAGTCTGATAAAGAATAGCAGGTTTCTGATGGTCTCTTTCAACCTATAGATGGTACTTCAGCAGTTGTTTAAGATGACGCAATTTGTAGTTAAGACTCCTGACTCAGTCCCTGAAAACTAGAACCCTCTCCCATCCAATGAAATGCTAGGTTCTTAGAGACTCTGTAATCAACCAGTAATTAAATGGACCCTCATCATTTAGCACCCTTGGCAACATTTGGCTTGCCTGCTCTGCAAACGTGGCTGTGGCCTGAGTGGTGGAGGTGCTGTCATAGGATAATGTGCTGAAAAGCAAAGTAAGTTGTTGCGGGGTGTAGTACAGCTCAGCGGTAGAGTGCATGCTGGGCGTGCTTGAGGTCCTGAGTTCAATCCCCAGAATCTCCATCAAGTAAACACCTGGCATATTCACCTGGAACACGTTGTGGGTAGTTATCATCATATTGTTTTCCTCAAAAACTCTTAGGGTGGATAGAACAAAACATATGTTCTTGTTTATTGTTAAGAATCATAATAAATCCTCTTTAGTTGTCTAAGAAATCACCTGTTGATTCTACTTACAGAAATGGAGTCTTTTTCATTTCCTTGGGCATATGTCACAAAAACTTGTTTTCTTTTTTTGTAGAAATTATTCTAAAATTGGGCAGCTGAAATATATGAATAATTTCTAGACCTCTGTCTCCCTGGAGATATAACTTTCTCAGGGGATTAAAGTTTTTCATTTTGTTTTTTAAATGAACACCTAATACTATACACTAATTAGTACACGACTTTAACTCTTTAACTGGGCAGTAGCTTGGGAAAGGATATTTGGTATTTGGTATTGATATTTGGTATTTATTCATGGTAGGACACTATCTCAAATAGAAGGTGATTCGAATCAACTCATTCAAATATATAGGCAAATGTAAGGCTAAACCTTTCTGAGTGTACAAACTACAGTGATAAAAGCTAATATAGTTTGGAAAGAGGCCCCATCTGACTAACTTTAACTTTATACTCACATTTTGTGTGCGGGGCAGTGGAAAAGAAACGGAAACTTCGGTTAAAAATGTTAACAGAACCACCACCACATACACATACCATGTGTTTTTTATGTATTGGAGATTATCAGATGGTTTTCCCTTCCTGCTCTGGATTCTTTCACAGTTTATTCTCTTGCACTCCGGTTTAGCTTTCATTCTGGATCTCTTCCCCGCACATCATTTCCCTCAATCACATGTGTTCCCAGAGGCTTAACTGCTGTCATCCTGTGTTTTTGAAGGCTCTTCTCCCATCTTTATCTTCTAACTGTAACTGCCTGGTAGATTTTTAATGAAAAGATGTGATTTTTTTTCAAGTTCAATGTAGAATAATGGTTTAAGCATGTATGAGTAGCTTTTAAACACTCCTTTCTAAATGACTGAATGAAAATAGTTGATTTTTTTTTACCATTTATTTGCAGGGTGTGGTGTTTATCTGAAGAACATTTTACTTTAAAAGGAAAGATGCTGTCTCCAAATGATAAAAAGTTAGAAAAGCTGGATCCATTTTACCGACCTTCAGTGTCCAAGCAGAAGACAAGCGCAGAAATCATAAGTGAAGCACGAAATGCCTTGAGAACTGTTAGGACCCAAAGACCACTTACACCACTGGAAGACCAAAGAAAACTATTTGGATCCGCATCTTCAAGAACACCAGAAAATAGACCTCCATCCTCCTTCAGGTATGTGACATTTCTCTTGCCTGTACACTCAGATGTGTAAACCACCAGATGACATTTTCCCTTAATTCTAATTGTGGATAGTTGCTTTCTAAGTTTGACTTCTCGTGTCTGTTCAAGATTTCTAAAGATAATTCCAGACCTTGGGTCCAAGAAGTTGCTTTGGTTTGAAATGGTTAATAGTGGTTGATATGAAAGAAGTGATATGAAAGAAGCTTTAAAAAGAATCACTATAAACATTTCTTCTTTTCATTATTCAGTATTTTTAATCCTCCTAAAATCAACAAAAAGAATATGAATAAAATGTGTAAAGTACTGTGCTTCTTTAAAAATTACTTCTTCCTCAAGGTTATGCACTGAATGCTTTTAGTTGTTTGGGGACTAGAGTTCACTAACATATACTAGAAATAAAAGAAATGATGCTTTGCAAACTAACATTTTTGTTCCATCTCCTGCGCTAGTGTCCATGCGTCCAGTTTTGAGTCCTCTGATTCCAAGCCCATCTCTGGCACCCGTCTCAGTCCTCTAGAGCTTGTGAGTACTTTGTATTACCATGAGTGCTGTGAAATGGAATTGGTCCCAATTACTTGGAATCAGCACTTATATATGCTAAGAAAGTGACCACATAGACCTAAATGTATTAATAATTTAATATGAAAGAAAATTCTTTTTCATTTTTTCAAATATAATGGTTAGTATCTAATGAAACACTTCTATTATTCACCTATAGTTTGATAGTGGAAGAGTTTTAGAAATATATAGAAACCTGGCAAAAAATGTTTCACAGTATTTTTTTAAGTTACAAATATATATTTTATTTTTCATAGTTACATATACAAGTAAACTATAGGTGCATGTATATTGAGTGAAAGATTTCTTACCAAAAAAACCCTCCACTGGTCTCTTGTCCCTTTATTTTTCATTCTCCCTTCCACAGCGGCTCTCACTTTAAACTCTCTTGGCACATTCTTTTGGTGTTGAGATCCAAACTTTTAAATAACACAGTGTCTTGCTGCTCTCTGACTTATGAGCTTGAGGAATTATCTAATGACTTCCCACTAGGGAAGATGAAGATTTAATTCTTGTCTGTCCTCCCACGCCTCCTCACAGCACATTCACCCTTTCTATCCCCACTGCTACTCCCAATATAGATATATCATAATTTTGGCTAGGTCCCTTTTCTCTGACTGTGATTATATAAATCCTGTTTATAGATGGGCCTTGAACTAATGATAATTAATGATGATTACTTCTCCTTCCCTACACTATTTTTTGTTTTCCCTGGTGTTAATTGCCTTGCTTTTTTAGTTTTATATTATTACTGTTTTAACTCCAAACTCTTCCCCAGTGGTCTAGGTCTCCTTCTTATACCCAGGCACATGAGATGTTCTATTGATTCATCTCCTTGGAGAACCTTCCACTCTCCCTCCTGGACCACTTGCCCTGGGCATCTGGTGCACACCTTGCTCCTCCTTCCCATGGTGGCTTTCCTGGTTCCTATATTCCAAGTCCTCCCCTTTGTTGATTTACTCTTGTTTTAGTGGAAAACTCCCTTCAATAGCTTCTTGAGGAAGGAGGTATGGGAAATAAATTATTTGAGACCTTGACTGCTGATGCACTCTGGAAATTTGCAGAATTTTTCTTTTTGTTCCCAGTGTTATGAAATGTCACAATGCTGGGCATTTTCAATGTAGAATCTTGTACCCTTCAGTTCTGGAAAGTGTCCTTGAAATTATTTTGATGTCTTCCCCTCTTTTCTGTTCTGTTTACCTTTTCTAGAATGTATTATTTGAATGTAGGAGCCCCTGAACTGGCACTTCAGTTTTTCTTATTTTCTCTTTTCTCTTTCTCATATCATTTTTTGGATGAGACTTTATCTTCTAATCCTTTTATTGAGTCCTTTTCATTTCTACTATTGTATTTTTAATTTTCAAAAGCTTTCCCCCACCCCTAAATTATCTTTTTTTAATATATAGTATTCTGTTCTTTTTTCATGGTTGTAGCATTTTATCTGCATGTATTAATGGTAGTTTTGATTTTTGAATTGTTTTCTTCTCCTGAAATCTCTGTTGCTCTGTGTGTGTGTGTGTGTGTGTGTGTGTGTGTGTGTGTGTGGCTTGAAAAAACAAATTTTTATTTTCTCACAGTTCTAAAGGTTAGGAGTCCAAGATCAAGATGGCAGTAGAGTTGATTTCTTCTGAGGCTTTTCTCCTTGGCTTATAGATAACCATCTTCTCCCAGTGTCTTTACATGGTCTGTCCTCTGTGTCTCTGTTGCAGTTTTATATTTGTCTTGGTCTCTCTGTTTTCATATCAGAGGCTCTCCTCTGATAGCTCTACTGCTTGTTTGGCTGTTCTTATTTGAGAGTGGAGGCATGTGGAAGGTGTTGGTCAACCCATAGACAGTACCTACCCAAACCTTCATTTAGAGGGGTTTGGCTGGGCTGTGCTGTTTGTAAGACCCCCCAGTAGCAGTAGCTTTACGGCTTTCCTTGTGGGCTAGTCAGTTCTCTATAGAAGTATCTTTCAAGCTTTTTCTTAGAGAATAAAGGCTTCCAGGAGCCAGGAGGAAGAAGTTAGGAATGCCTAGCATTCAGTACATAAATGCTCAGTTAATATCTATGTTTATGTTAACCCTCAATTGTGCCTAGTTAGCTGATTCAGAGACCCTCTGTTTTATCCTCTCCAGAGAATAAATGTCCCACCTAATCCTGGATCAGTAGCCTGACTGTGTGGAGCTGGGAGGGAAGGAATTATACAAACTTTCAACCAGTTCTCCTTATTTTAGACACCCCTCCCTTGATGCCCCTGCTACCGCAAGCACCTGGTAATACCAGTTCCTTAGACTTTCATGGAATTGGGATGTCAGTCAAGCTGCTGCTCCATTTTTATTACTGTATATGTGTGTGCATATGTTTGTTTTTGATCAACTATGTTAAAGTAAACTTCAGACCTTCTAAGACTTCATCCACGAAAGTGTGCATTTCATACGCACAGGGGCAGTCTCCTACACAACCACAATGCTGTCATCACAGCTCAGAAAATTAACATTACCCAGTAGAATCATTTAATGTATCATCCATGTCCAAATGACCCCAATTGTCTCAAAATGCATCTGTGTTCCCAAAGTACTTATCAAAATGTCTCCGTGGGGGAGATCATACTTGTTCTTATATTGCAGATGAGAGAAATAAGATTCCAAAATTGTGACGATGAACCAGTGTGCAGTAAGTGCTTTGTCAGCCATTACTGATACATGGCTTCTTGCACCTACAACCGTGGAAATCATTTGGGTTTTGAGCCAGCTACAACAAGAAGACCCCCAGTTTGGCAGCCCAGTGGGTCTACCTTGTAGAGTGACTCTCTATTCTATAGTTCTGTCATTTGAAACTCCTATGAATTGCTTTATTTTTATTGCTGTAGTTTTTTGGGACTCAACTCAGTTTCGTCCTACTCTTTCCAAAAATCTCAGTTTCTAGAGTTCACCTGGTCCCTGTCAAACTATGGTTCTTGGACTGCAGAATTAGTTGTTAGGCAAAGGTTATATTGGCCTTTGCTTCTGTTTAGGGTCGTTGCAATTAAATTTCTTCACTGCAGAATGGTTGGGTGCTATGTGCAAAGTAAAAGCAGGCTAAGAATAATTCCTTTAGTTTGTAATTTTTTTGTGATAGTGGATTATGTAAGGATCTCAGATATGTTTCATTTTAAATAAAAATTAAAGTTTGGACTGCCCAGTCAGAAAATCTGAAAGTGGTCTCAGACTGCCTCCCCTTCCAGGTTATTTCCTCCTTTCTGCTTCCCCTTTTAAAGAATGCTTTGACTCTGGTCACCTCTAAATTGACAAAGGGAAGAGATCAGGTGAAATAGGAGCAGAGGGCGAGGGAGCAGGATCAGGACCACTGGAAGGTGGGGGTGAGGTGTTGTGTGCAAAGGGACACCATTGCTGAGAGAATCTGTGAAGATCTAACCAATTGAAATGTCAGCACTTTCTAGATCAGGGAAAATCTGTCTCAGACTAATTTGCCTTGGAATAATTCCTCACCGAGCAGTCAGTCGGTCAGCGAAGAGGGACCCAGAGAGCAGCCCATTCCAGCTCCTACATTTCACAAATCCACTCAGCTCTTCGCACTTGTACGTTGCCCCTTCTCTCCATTTCTCCCCCGATTTCTGGCTTGTGCTTCCCCCACGCCCTCTAGCAGGGGTGGGCTGCCTCCACTCAGGACTGCCCTGGGCTTCAGAGGGAGACGGAAGCACTGGGCACTCCCATCTCGGCTGGCCCCTTGGAGTTCCCACCAGCACCTGTACTCTTACAAACAGGAGGAAGGCACTGCAATTCACAGTCTGCCATGAGCACTTGTATCCACCTGCCACGTAGGTGTGCCACATACATCTTTCTTTCTTAGCAGCTCTGCACCTCCCCACGACAGCTCTGAGATGTGGGCGGTTGTGTGGTGGTAATTACTCCCACGTGCATTCTGCCTGTCTGGTTAGCTGATGTTCTGATTTCTGTACACAGGAACAGCTGCTCTCATACTTTGGGTTGTGTAAAGTAGGGAAAGAGATAGAGGAGATAGGAAATTTTGTCTTTTATCATTATCATTGTCAAAATAGAACTCTCTCTGTGTTTCCTAAACCTACAAAGCCCAGTCATTTAAGCTGCTAGTATTTTTATTAAACTTTTTATTGACATACAGAAAAGACACAGATCATCAGAATGCAGCCTGATAAATTTACACAAACTCAACAGACAGTAAACAGCATTGCAAAAAAGAAAAAATAGATCATTATCAGCCCCCCGCCCCAGAAACCACCTTCCCAGGGTGACTACTGTCCTGATTTCTCACCTCATAGATTAGATTAGTTTCAGCTAGTTGTTTTTTTTTAAATAGGAACTGAGCTCCAAGCATTTGACAAGTAAAACAAAACTGAATATATATATGTATTATATATATATATATATATATATATATATCAAAGTATATGTATATATTATACATATATATTTAAAGAGATTTAGAAGCCCATCTATCCATCTATATCTTGGTGATAGGGGAGATCCAGGGTAAGAAAAAGCAGAATGAGAATGTCAAAGCAGTGTTTTTGCTTTCACAATTTCTGAAACGAATGGTGACATTACAGCAGTGAGTCACATGCTGAGTGTGACAGAGGAGCCCAGAGTACCTGTGGAGAAAATCATAGTAATAGAAATGTGCAAACAATTACCACATCCAAAGGTTATGTGCTTGGGGGAATTTTTAATACATATTTGCTTTTGAACTTCCAAGAGGTGTGTGTGTTCTGTTGCTTTACAAATTAAATCGTAGAAACTTTCTGCAGTGGGAGGTCATGGACCCCCTTTTCCAGTCTTCATGTAGAATGAGACCCCCACCTTCCCATCTGGTGATCCAGACAGGTCAGAAATTGGTCAGAGCCCACTGCAGTGGGATGAGAGTCAAGGCCAATAAGACCCCTTACATATTTTAGGAATGTTGTCTTCTTTGGTTGGGTTGTTCTGTGGAAATAGTCTTTCAGTCTTCAATAGACCAGTTTTATCAACCAGGACAGATCTTAAAACCTGACTTTGCCAGTGTCCTTGGGTATACTCCATTTACTGGTTAGTGTCATAACGCAAATCTTGAGGGAGGGGTTCTCAAGTGAAGATTTAAACTCACTTGAAATATTCTCTGAATTCTAAGATGCAATGAATTTTACAAGAAAAAAAATTTTCCTGTTGTGCTTCCTAAAAGCCATTTTGCTCCACAAAGTGAAAGAACATTTTTGTAGAACCTAGCCTGATAGAAATTGATAGCTTGTTTCATTTTCCCTTGAAGAATTAAAGATGTAGCACTTTATACTTTAAGTAGTCCAATGAGATATATGTTCAAATGGGGTAAATAATTTAGTAAAGGCCAATAGCAAAATGGAACTAATTTTTTATAATACACAACAATGGCTAATTTTGCACTAGGAAAATGATGGCTTTTGTTAAGGAGCTGTTTAGGGGATTGATCTTGCCATCCGGAGATAATTCAGTTATTCTCTTTTGGGTAAAAATTAGCTTTACAAAACCGTATTTTCTCTTTTTGTAAGATCTTTTATTTAGTATCCAGAAAATTTGTAATAGTTAAGGCATCCGTAAAAGCAGGAATTTACTTTATCTGCATTTTTCTTATCTGGCAGACTGCTCAGTCTTTGTTTCAGATTCAAGGTTCCTGCAGAGTACAGACAGTTTGAGATAAGAAAACCTCAAATCCATATTCAGTATTGAGATTATCCTTATGTACTTCATCTTTCATAATTCTATGTAAAGCATTTATTGTCCTGTATCATACTCTTAGTGTTTTTTTTCCTTAGCTTCAGGGCCTAAGTCACATTCTTATGACTATTTTGCTGCAAATTAAGGAGACTAAAAAGTAAAGCAACTCTTTATTAAACAAATATAGCATGATTTACAAAAACAGATGAGTGTTGTCTCCTTCAGAATAAACCCCTCTGAATTCAGGATCTTTTTCCCAGCAAAGTTGCATCAGAGGCCAGAACCTTGGCTTTTGAGACTTAAAAGTAACTTGGAACCAAATCTGGTCAATATGTAGAAGGTGAGTAGCTTACGTAGGGAAGGAGCTAGCATTTCTCGAGCCTCCATAACAGGAATTGTATATATATGTCAGTGCTCCTGCAGGAAGGGGACTGCCATCTCTTTTGATAGCTAGAGAAGTAAATAGCCTGCTCCAAGTTCACATAACCAGAAAGTAGATTCCGCACGGGTTGGTCTGATCTCAGAGTCATTCACTCTTCCTGTTATACTGATTATTTTATTTCTGTTTTTTTCTAACTGTTTTTGGAAAAATGTGTCTCCAGTCATAAAACTAGTTTTTTGGTCTGGCTTATGAACTGATTCCATATGCAAATGAACAAGAGAATAAAAATATTTTGAAAAATTTCTCATTGTTGCATTAAGCAACTGCTTGAGAAGAGACCTTTAATATAGATGTCTGTGTTCTATTAATGTATATGAGAAAATGAGTGGTTGCAATTATGTGTCATATATGATAGATGACCTCACCCATTTTTCCCAATTATCTGACTTGAATTTCACACTGGATTTTTTTAAAAAAGTTATTGATTAACCTATTGGATTGGGAGTAACTCATTTCACATGTTCTATAAGTGACGTTAGGAACTTTAACTTGATTATTTGGGGTTAGAGACTAGAAGCACTGCTGCCATAAGATTACTCTTTCATAGATGGATAATTGTGCTGGAGGTGGAGGAAGTCTGGACTACCAGGCAACACTGAAGGTGGGCGCGTAGGTCCCTGTGAAGCTGTGGCCCCAGGCTGGGTCGGAGGCCACTGCGCCCTGGAGGGCAGACCAGGGGATGCTCTGGGTGGCTCAGCTTGGTGCAGGTGGTTTTAAGTCCTTAAGGAACTGAAATTTTTTTGCCAGTAATGTTCCTTTTCTGAGGGTATCAGCCTAGAATTCTTGAGATTTAGAAAATAAAACATATTTATATCAGAAGTCCAGGACTACTTGCTCTTGTGTTTTGTGACTTTTTCATCTAAATTTTTCAAAAAATTTATGTCATTTAAAAAAATACGTTTGTGAAGTCCAACATATATAAGGGTCATATTTATATTCCACATAGTTCTTGGCACATGTAACTGCCCAATAAACATTTTCTGAGCTGAATTGAACACAAAAATTTACAAAGTGTTTTGAATATACTCTACCAAATTTTATATAGTCTCTTCTACAGATCTGTTTGCTGGCCTGGGTAAGCCTTTTCTTCAAATACACTAAGCAGGACAGTAGAATACTTAATACAATATAACTGACAAAAACAATTTAAAAAGTGTTACATCCCTAACACAATAAGTAAGGTGGGCCAGTGAGACGTAGAACTAGGGGGCTGGGGAGAAGCCAGGCGGGGAGCCGTGTGCTCATGTGGAAGTGTCAGGGCCAGTTCCTGGTGGTGAGTCTGATTCAAGACACAGAAACTCATGCCAATCATTTAAAAAAATCTCTTTCCAGAAACCGAAAGCTCCAGCATCTCCTGCCACAGAGGAGGATCCCTGCCCTTCCTTTCCTAAACCCCCAGTGGACCCTGCGAAGATTAGAAGGATAAGCAGTGCCCGGGCGCGCTTGTTCAGGGCGGCCTCACAGGGGGCTCTTCTGCCAGACAGGACCCTTCCTCCCACACAGCGTAAGGCCACATAACATCTTTTAAAGCCTGGGGGCAAGCATGGTTCTTGAATTTGCACACAAGAGCTATTTCCGTATGATTTTTTTTCAAACCCCACATGATTTTTAATGTTACTTAAGACTTAGTTAATATTGTGCAAAAGCTGGTTAAGAAACGTTCATGTATTTTTCTGGGAGTTTATAAAGAATACCAAAATATCAAGGGTTTTTTTTTAAGTTACTTGGTAGAAAAAGAATATTAGGATAAGTGTTTTCTAACAAATGGGTTCATCTGTATTAGAAATACTTTCTAAAGTAGAGTTTGAAAAGTTGTTAATTTCATTAAGCATACTGAAGATTCCTATAAGGTACACTAAGCTTGGGTCTTTGAAATACCTCTCTGATCCCATGTGAAAATGTGAGAGCAAGTTGAATGGGCTTTTCCTTTGGCCACAAAACTCCTGGCAGGTACTGGAACCTGGAAACAGAGAGACTAAAAATTTCCAATTCTAAGAAACGCCCCCAACAATTGGAATCACAACCCACCTCCAGATCATACTAAGTTTTTCAAACTATAGGAAACGTCCCATTACTGGGGTGACAATTAGTTTAATGGATCATACCAGCATTTAAAACAATGAAATAGAGTAGATGGAATGGAAAATGTCAGGGTACATTGCAGACAATAAAGGTAAGTATTGCTTCAAGGATTTTACTTCAGTCATGTACGTGTGTGTTCAGGACCATATTATAAGTTTATTATACATTATATTAAATCATATTATAAATTTATTATTACTGTACTTAGCCGTTTGCACCAAAGCATATTCATGTCCCGCTCCAAAGTCTGTCTCTCTGGCAGTTCTTCCATCCACCCTGTTGGCGGTTGCCACCCTCACCATTCTCCACATCCCTGCAGTCTGTGTCAGCACCCAGGAAACAATGGCAGTAAAAAGTCATTGTCTTTTTAAAAGTACACATGCCCAATTTAAAAAAATTCTATGGCTCCAGCCTCGAACTCATTGTCCTTTGTACAGGGGCTCCCTGGGCTTGTTTGAGAGTCCCTATTATTTAGAAAAGGTATCCTTTGTTGGGGAACCGACTGTAAAGGCTGCTGTGCCTGGAGACAGAGGGTGCGTCCCTTCCTTTGGTGTGAAGTCATTAGTAGCTGACACCTCCTCAGGTTGTGCTGGGGTGTGGTGGCAGGTTCGGAATTCCTGATGGAAGAAAATGAAAAGGGAAGAGCTGTGTGTAGTTCATAGAGCCCACAGTTCAATTGCTTGTGTTCAAATAGGGTTTCTGGCTGGAGGTGGCAGCGTTGCTAACACCCCCCAGTTATTCCAGCTGGATGGATACCTCAGAGCATTCTCTACCCTCTCACAACCTCTGTTACCTTTGCCATCACAGAGGCTTCCTAAATATCTCCTGGGTCTGCATTCTTCTTCCCACCACTGCCCCACGGCTTTTATCACCTCTTGACTTGTCCCTGGTCACCCAGCGCTCCTGTCTTGCTCCACCCTCAGCTCGCTGGGGGCTGCAGGTGGGTCAACACAAGGACTCTCTGGGAGTAGCCAGCAGAGCCTGGGGAAGCTGAGCCTCCACCCAGACATGGCTGTGAGCAGTGGCCTTGTCCCTTTACCTCAGTGAACCATGAAAAACAATCATTTTCTGTGTGCCATAGCGGACAAGAGGTCAGGAAGCCAAAAAAGAAAAAAAAAATCAGGTTACATCATCTTCTTGCTGAAAACCCTTCAGCGGATCCCTGGTGCCTAGAATGGTGTTTGCCAAACTGAATTCCAGGGAACACTTCTGGCAAAATGTTAATAGCTTTTTATTGGAAAAAGAGTTCAGTGCTCCAATGAGTGTACCTACTTCCTCTCCATCTCAGAGAGGCACAGTGAGCGTGAGCATGTTCAAGGGTGGGGAAGGCCACCTGGTAAAGACACCTGTTTAATTTTAACTCAGCCCAGCATTTCACAGACCAACTTGACTGTAGAATCTGTCTTTTGGGAAACACTGACCTAGGACAGTAGTTGGTCAACTTTTTCCATAAAGAGCCAGAGAGTGAACATTTCAGACCTTGTAGGCCGTAGAGTCTCTGTTCAACCTACTTAGCTCTGCCACTGCAGCAGGAAAGGGACCACAGACTGATTTATGCCCACTGAAATTTGAATTTCTTATAATTTTCACATGTTACCAAATACTGTTCTTCTTTTGATTCTTCCCCTACCCGAACCATTTGAAAATATATAAACCATCCTTAGCTTGTAGGCTATACAGAAAGAGGTGGCAGGCCAGATTTGGTGGAGCTGTAGTTTGTTGACTCCTGGTCTAGGCGATGAAGTCTCCTCTCCAGTATGCACAGCTGTGCCATGGTCTGGCCCCAGCCTGACATTCTAGGTCCTTCTCTCCAGTCTCCTTTCCTTTCCCACACCCTGCCCTGGTCTGTGCACCAGCAATATGGAACCCTTGCAGTTCCCCATACCCATCCTACTATTTCAAGCCTCATGCAGGATCTGCTATATAATTTGCTGGACCCAGTGCAAAATGAGAATGTGGAGCTCTTTGTTCAAAAATTATTTAGAATTTCAAGATGGCAATGGCAAAACATTAAACCGAGTGTGGGGCCCTTCTCAGCGTGGGGCCCTGCTTGACCACACAGCTTGGACACACCTAAAGCTGGCTCTTACTCCAGACTTGTGTTCCTTTTCCTCAGAATTTTTTTTTTTCTGGTCTCCTGTTAACCTTTCAAATTACTTCTCAGGCTCCACTTCCTCAATGACTCTTTCCCTGACCAACTTCAACCCCTCAGGACTCCCTGCTCTCTGTACTTCTTACCCGGCTCAGACCACGCGTGCTGCATCTCTCCCTGTATGCATCTGCTTCTCTTTCCCCTACTACTGAAGACTGAACAACTTCAGTAGGAGAAGAGGTTTTCTCTGTTTGAAGCCTGAGAGCCTGAATGGGCTGTAATCTGCAGTAAGTGCCAAAGAAATATCTGTGCAACAGAACAGTTCCCATGTGAAAATGCTGCTGGTTGTAGAATCCTTTTGAAGCTTATCCACAGTCCATTATGAAATTAGTACAGCATGCCGCATGCACCTGCCAGAAAGACCCAGAGCTTCGTTACTCATGCACAGTTTAACGTGGGCATCCGTCAGTAAGAGTAAGCCCCGGGCAACTCTTTGCTGCAGTGACAACTGACAGCTGACTCCAATAGATTGTGAAAACAGAGGGGCTGCAGCTCCTCTGCCCACAAGTAGGGGGGCGTTTTTCCCTCTAGAGTGGAAGCTCCATGAAGGCTGGGACTTCTTGTTCCTCCTGGACCGCCAGCTGCTGAAACAGCGTCTAGCACATGGCAATGGGTGCTTAATAAATATTTGTGGAGTGAACAAGTGGAAGCAATGAATGCTGTAATATTGGGACAGGCTAAAAATGCTTTATAATCTAAACTGAAGTACATGTTTGGTGATTCAGTCCTAAACATATTCAGGGTTGCGTGGTGCTGGACCAGAACCCAGGATTCTTGGGTTCTATTAATAACGATGATCATAACCTCTAGGTCTGGAAGTATGCTAGCACCACATACGTCACTTCACTGGACCATATCACTTAATTCTCTCCACATTCCCAAGAGGTGGGGACCACTGAGGAAGGGGAGAGAAAGTGAGTGACCTGCCCACATCACACAGCTGTACTTGATCCCAAGTCTAATGAGATGCCAAGCCCACACTCTCCCTGCTGAGCAGTCCTGGCTCTCCCCAAACCTGCTCCATGACCTTGAACTGGTCACATAACCTTTCGGGTTCTCAATTTTCTCAGCTGAAAAATGAAGGTTAGACTCACCAGTCTCTAAGGTTCCTTTCTGCTGTAAAATTCAGTGTTTTGAAAGCATGGAGCTTAGTCAGAGGAGGTGACTAGGTGGTTTTGTTATTGTTGGTTTTTATTGGTTTGATGGTTTAAGTGCAGAAAGGAAACCTTGAGTCATTTTGGAAAAGCCTGCAAGACTATTTCTCTATATGAAGCTCATTCTCTTTTCCCCTTTGAAAAATATAATTTGTCACGGACTAGAATGTAGTAGCAGCAGTATGGGTAAGCTATTTCTAATGTCAGTTTGCCAATGAAGCAGCAGTGTTGTATTTTAAGTCTAAGGATCTATAGCCATAAACACAATAGATGTTTCAGTTCAGAGGCTGGATGTCTTTTTTTTTTGCAACTCTATCTTAGTCCTCTTTAGAAAGTCTACAAGTGTTTCAGTGCCCTCCTCTGTCCATGTCTGGTAGTGGTCTGCTGGGCCTCCACCACCCAGCCCTGTCCTTCTGATCACCTTTCCCCCTCACATACTCCACTCATGCTGGTCCTCAAGTGCCACTCCTGCCTTAGAGCCTCCGCACCAGCTGTTCCCTCTGCTGGAAATTCTGTCCTTCATCATTTGATGGCTTGATATTCATCTCCATTAAGGGTTGCCTACCAGGCGTACCTGTTCAAAATTGCTACCTGCCCCCATTCCCAATCCCCTTTTACCCTTCTCCACTTTTCTACTTTCGCTTTTTTCCCATAGCACTTATCTTAAATCAGATACTTCACCTTATGGTCTATTACTTATTGCCCGTTTACACCTATGAGGATGTAAGCCCACTGAGAGGGATCTTTGTTTCGTCATGATGCCTCCCAAGCACCAGACATCAGGAAGGCACTCCAGTATTTTTGAATGAAAAATTACTAATGTGATCAAATCCAGGACAGGGAATTGTTATGGGACATGAGAGTGTTTATATGGACTTAGGTAGTTCATAAACCGAAATTTGAGTGTTTGCCTGCAGGTAGACTCCAAGCTAATAGAGAGAGGATCCTGTTCATTTTTACCTGATGAATTGATGTCAAGTCTAAAATAGTGGTGAGGTCTTGGATATGTTCAGGGAGGTTTTATCCATACAATTCCAGACTTGATTATAAGTAATATGTAGTTTTTAAATTGTATAAACTCTTGGGTTGAAAAAATATTGAAAGAGTGATTCCTAAAATAAATGCTTTGATCAAACATTTCCTTGGTTATTACAGCAAAGAAGAGAGTGGAATCTAAAGAAACAGTTATGATGGGGGACTCTATGGTGAAAATAAATGGGATTTATTTACCAGAATCAAATGCCTTTGGCCACTTAAAGAGTCACCCACTTCAGCTAACATATGATGGAGACATCAGTGAAATCAAGGAGCAAGAAGTGTTCAAGGGGACGACACCCTTGCCATCCCATCTCAGAAGTGGAGGGTCAGTATTCTTTTTATTTAATTTTCTGCTCTGGACAACTGTGTCATTTACGAGTTTGTTCTCTAGCTTATGTAGATGATTGATTTGCATTTTTCCCTTTTCTATAAACAAATTTTAAGTTAGTGATGCATGCGTAGGAGAGAGTTCTCACGGCTGAATGGAGTTGATTTTACATCTCCCTCTTTAATCCTCAGGAAAACATTTATTCATACCTGCCAAAGTGCTGCTTTGATACAACTGTCAGGATAAAGTCTCTGCTTAATTTGGGCTGTTCCAGCCAGCCCTTGAGTGATGACTGATCTTTCTGTTTGTGTTACTTGGGATTCTTGCCCAGCCTGGAATTTCTCATTACCTCCCTTTAGGTTAGTCCACTGTTGTTAACTCTACAAAACAGTGGACACTTGGTTTAATTCATCCTCCAGTTGAAACTTGGATTAAAATATTTATTTTGCAAACTCATAGTTAAAAACAGGAGGGCCCTGTGAAACTCTCTTATCTATTTCCCCTACTAACCCTCACAGAATGAATGATTGGGAATTATTTTCTTTCATACCATGTTCCTAAAGAAGGCTTTTTTTTTTTTTACCCCAATCCACACTGACGCCTTTACCCCACCCATCCAGGAGCCCCTAAATTCGTTCCACGTTCCTAGATAGGACTTTCTAGGGCTTCCCCTAGAAAACTGAGGAGCAATTTTCCTACCATATTAAGGATTTGCAGAGAAATGCTCACTGTATGAACCATGCGAATTCTTACGCTGGCGTTTTCCTAAAGAAGCCTGGAATGACTGGGGACCGGGGTGGGGATCGAGCAGCTGTTTTTCAGTCCCAGCCAGTAGTGATGCTAAGATAGGCGGAAGGTCTTGAACTGGACAGCGTCAGTCAGAGATATTTTTCGGCGACTTTCCATTGGGTCATTGTGGACAGCTGCCCAGTTCAAATCTACTTAACTAGATTGAATTCCACGGGCCATTTTAAGACCAAGTGCTTATTGCCCTCACTTTAGATTTTGGGTCCAACTTTGGCATGTACACACGCAGCATGCTTAAAACTAACTTTTCCCCGAACTGGCTGCTTGGCAGCTGGTTAGTTTAGCTGAAATGACCTTATCTGCTGACACAGAGTGTCGCACTCACTGAATTTATAGTAGTCAGTCTAGTAGTCCTTGTAATGTCGCTTTGCATTCAGAACATTTTTTTAAATTAAAGGAAAAATGAAATATCTCCTTAAGTGGAAGGGAACAACTTCAAACTGGGACTTTGGGAGTTGAGCACAAAACATCAAACTGGCCATTGCAACAAATCTTTTCCAGTTGGTGAGTAAGAATAGGCTGCGGACCTCAGAGCTTAAACATAAAAGGCAGCAGGAGAACTTGTGTTTCTTTCAGCACTGAAGTGAAAAGGAAACATTTATCTTGCTGCACCCATCCTTACAGTAATTAAAGTTGACTAGGAAAAACCAGACAAGAGCTGTTTTCTTTTCTTTTCTTTTTCACAAGCTTTCAGATGTTGTGGAATAATCTGGCAAGCCAAGGTTCATTATGTCGCCCTCAGTCTGGGACAGCAAAGGCATTTTCAGTTACATATTTTATCCTCCAAACAGCAGAGAAAAAATCAATTAGGGACTGAAGGCAGTTCTTCCTGACTGTCCAGAATTAGGAGGCACTGGCGGCAGCACTAATTGTTTTCATCTGGCTTTGTTAGGCTGGCTTTTGCATCATGCAATGATTGTGACTGAGTTGGGTTTGCAAAACACCCTGGCAAGTTTAACTCCAAGTAACATTTTTGCATTATGAATCTTTACCTCTTTTAATCACTGGATGGGATTTTGTCGAAGTGGTGTCCCAAAAAAGTTTTTTTAGGATTAAGACAAGCCAGAAAATGGAAACTATTAGCAATTCTTCCATTAATTACACTTGTGAATCAATCTGGGATACTTGGTAGTTGTTTCTGGTAAACATTCAAATGAGTAATTCCAAGAAATGATCTTTGCTCTGCAGTGGAGTGTTCCCAGTTTTGATGCTAAAGTCTTGCCATCAATTAACACGTTTTCAGCTTTAGACCATAAAGTGGAAAATGAAGACCCTTGTCAGTGAACTGGGCTGGCTGGAGGGAGGGAATGGGTTGCATAACTAGAACAGGGAGAGGCAGGAGATGACAGTGGTTGAGGGCCGAGAAGAAGCGTGAGCAGCCGTGTAAATGGGACACAGGAGGCAAGGTCATGCTCTCTACACAGGGTCAGTGCCTTCTGCTCTCACCTGGGAGCTGCCACCTCCCACCAGTGCTTCTTGGCCTCGGGGAAGAAAGGAGTGATTTAATTCAGTGAAACCACTTTGATTTCAAGGAAGCCCTTAATTTAGAATACGGATAACTCAAACTTGGGATGGACTAGAGTTTAACTTTAAGTTGGTTGTTGTGATGGGAAAAGGACTTGCTAAGCAAAATGTCCTTGCAAACAAGGTCTTAGGGGACTGTTTAACTTTCCAGAGGAGAACGTGCTCTGCAGTACTTGCTGAACTGTCACCTTCTCACTGTGTGCAGACTACAACAGCCTGTGTGTCCACACAAGGGTTCATTCATTGTTTGGCAGACCTGCTCCTTAGCAACACCCCATTTTCTCTTCCTTTGTGTTGCCATATGTTTTGAAAATAGCTTCCATTAAAATATGTATGTGTGCATATCTCCATCCACCATCCATCCAGTGGTGCCATCTGATGGACCCCTTTATATACCTACTTTAAAACCTTTTAAGGCTTTCTGTGTAAATATTGTTCAAAGTCATGGTTTGGAAATGTGATTTTTAGGGCTTTAGGAGGAAAGCCCAAGAGCAGTCCATTGTGGAAAGTTGAGGAGAACTCTGTGTTGGGGCCAGAATCCATGGATTTAGGATTGGTTCCCTCTTAACCACAAAATTCCACTGTATGTTCTTTGACAAGTCTCTTAACACTTCCAGGGGCTCTGTTTTCTAATCTGTAAAATGGAAAGAACTGGACTCTGTGTACAGATTGACTGTAGGCTGTGGAATGATTAAAAAGGCTTGAAAGCCTTATTTGTAAACTACCAAGTCCTGTTAGTATTGTTGGAATCAAAAGTGAGCAAAGAGGGCTTCTGGTTAAAGATGGCAAAGCAAAGGCATTCTGCAGAAACCCAGTGAAAGCAACAAAAAATGAAAAATAGAAATAAATGTCATCAATGAAACAGAAAAATGGTTCCAACCCCAAACTACAAAATACAAAGGAACCTTTACACTGCAGTGTAGGATTGAGTTTTTCTTCTACCTAGCATACTTCCTTCTGGAGAGTGAGCTGTCTTACATAGTATAATAAATTCTGCTCAGTCTGTGTTGAAAGGAGGGCTGGCCCTGTCTTCCCTATGCCTCTTCCCAGGGGTGCTTATGTTTCCCAGAGCTGGCTAATCAGTTATACAACCCACCAGCCATAGCAGTTGGTTCAGAGGTAGGTACATGATCCAAGCCAGGCCAACTGAATTCTCCCCAGGACTTTTGCCAAAGCCTTTGGGGAAAGTGCTCTTTCTCCAAGTGCACAAGCTGTAAAGATAATATTGTCTTGGAGTGAAGAGTGGCCATTTCATTGCCTTGTGGAAGGTGACTTTGAGAGGAAAGTGATGTATAAACGGACCAAGTCAAGGAATGGAGATGGTGACTGAATTCAAGGGTGGTATATAGGCCCCTAGATCCAGCTGTGCCTGAGGCCACCGCATCCACACTGCAGATGGGCTGTTTTATGAACCAACGTGTTCCTTTTTCTTTCTCTCTCTCGTTCATCTTCCTTCCTTCCTCTTTCTTTCCTTCTTACCTTTCTTTCTTCTTTCCTTTATTATTTTGATAGGGACAGATGATGGTACTTTAGATTAGGTTTTTATCACTTGGACTATTGTAACCAAAAGAGTCCAGTTAACCTGCCAGACTCTGTGAAATATAGATGAAGATGGGGTAATTTGAGAGCAGACATTTACCTCCTCAGACTTGAAGAAGAAACAGATTTCACAGACAGTGAGTCTCTCAGTTCAGGAAGGCGTATCCAATATTCTTTAATTAAAGAAACACAATGTAAGGATGTGGGTAGGCCACAGGAGAAGTGGGGAAGCCACAGTAGAGACTCCGTTCCAGATCCAGGGTGTGAAGCAGCTGAGGGAAATGGAGCTGAGGATGACATGCTCTCCCTGTTTTCTGTGAGCCAGATAGTTTGTGTTTGTGTGCGTGTGTGTATCTAGAGGAGAGAGTTCCAAAGATTGGAACCCAAGGAGCCTGGCTTATAAGGGGGCTTTTCTGTGCATCACAAAACCTGCTACATAAAAACCAAGGAAACACACACTGCAGGTCAAGAAAATAACAGACCTGGAAGATAGATGTTCAAGAAAACTGAAGTTGAAGCTGTAGGGCTCCCCAGTTCTCTCCCTTCAGGGACCCTTTTCATTCAACAAATACATGGCTCTGTTTAAAGATAAATAATATTCAGATAAGAGTTAACATGGGACTCATGCATGGCTTTGTGAAGAACATGACAAAGACCAATGACGGAAATGGATCACAAAAGGACGCACCCTCCAAGAACAGGGGAAGAGTTAAAACAGTTGTCCATAGTGTCAGAGAAATTACAGATAATGTTATTACCTTTTTAAAAAAGGAAAAAAGAGCTCTTCTTTGGGTTATAGGAATTCAAATTAGAGAATTTAAGCCCACATGAAGTGAAAATATGCTCACAAGTCTCAAAAAAGAGATGAAAGAAATGAAAGAAAAATGTATAAACATGGAGAGGAAAGACACATTAGAAATAAGAAGTGAGAATAAAAGAACAGCTGGAAATGCAATCAGACATGGTAGACAAGCTGGAGGAAATAATAATAAAGGAATGAATAAGAAAATGGGAAAATGATTAGAGACAATAAGACAGATATGGGAGGCATGATACTTGTATTCTCGAAAGAGGGAATCATCCTTTTCCTCCTCATCCTCCTCTTCCTTCTGGTACTACCTTTACTT